TTTGGGGAGAGTCGAGCTAATTTTTAGAAATGTGGTGTGTGAAAAGGTGTGTTTTTGGAAAAGATTTGGAAATGTGAAAAGGTGTGTTAAATTCTGTGAAATCATTTTAAGCTGTGGCGGCGAAGGCCTTACTCCGACTCTGGTACGTAAAAAACTAACCGCATGCTACTATAAGGTACTTATAACAGCTAACCTCACCAAATGATTGTACGGTAGTATACATTTATTATTGACGTTTTCTTTTCACGCTAATAAAATAATAATTACGTATAGATAACTAACGTAGTAGTATCTAGTAGATAAACACTTTAATTTTAAGAAACTATTTAATAAAACCACTTGTTTTTATTAAAAACTAGGAGTCCGATATCAGTATAAGTTAACCATACCTTGACAGGGCCGGTTTCCTATGAAAATTATTGTTTATATCTGACAGTTCACAATTGTTCAAAGATTGTTAGATGCATCCAAAAGTATCCAAGGTGTGGAATGTGCATCATACTGACAATAATAAAAACAGTAAAATGTTTAAACTCAATTCCATCATGAGTATATACACAGCTGAATTAATAGCGATAGTGGAAGCACTAAAATATTTATCTAATATAAATCATTTAAAGTTTAAAATTTATAGTGATAGCAGAAGTGCTTTAAGTAAAATTACTGCCATAAATCCTAAATCAAAAGTAAATTACGTTGAATTACTAATAATAAATAAAATTAAAGAACTTCAGCAACTAGACAAAACTGTTAAGTTGGCATGGATTAAAAGCCATTGTGGAATAACTATAAATAAGATAGTAGATGAATTGGCAAAAAACGCTGTGGCACAAGGAGTATTAACTCATTATCTTAGTACGTCTAGAGATATAGAATCAGACACGTTCAAAGCGCTTAAGAAGGAATGGAAAGAAAGGTATATTATTGAGAATATAAATACAGGAAAGCGTTACAGAGCAATCAGAAACAATATTACGGATAAATCTTGGTTTGCTAAAATGGAGTCGACAAAGGATATGACAAGAACTATATGCAGAATGAGATTTAACCACTGTCTTACACCATCATATATGTTTAAAATGAATCTTGCTGATAGTCGATAATGTACTTGTGGTCAGATTGGTAACCTAAAACATAAAATTTTAGACTCTTCTCTTATTTCCAATAAAGTTAATAAATTTTTAAATTCGATTTGTTTTTTGTCCCACGTCCAGCATCCCATTAATTTAAATTATTTATTAATATTAGAAAACAATGAGTTTTTATATTGTATTAACATATTTTAGATATTAAACTCAAATTGTAATTGTAAATATAGAGTGGGTTTTGTGATTTGTTAGAAAAAAAAATAAAAAAAAATAAAAAAAAATAAAGAAATAATAAAAAAAGAGAAAAAATAAGGAACTTGGACAGTCCACAGTAAAGTAGCTATCGAATTAAGTAGATAGCTGGAGAAGAGTTTACTGTGGAACTCTGAGGACATCATCACTTATTTTATATAATAAATAACTAAAAAACAATTAATAGAAAAAAAAAGACTATATACAAGAGATCAATACTAGTAATAGTAGGATTAGTATTAGTAGGAATTTAGTATAAGATTGTACAGGAAACAATGACTAATGAAAAAATGAGTACAAATTGTAAGATTGGCGAATGGATTTAGTGTCCGCAGTCATTTAAACACAAACAAACAACAACAAACCAGCAGCAAAAGATCAAATTCCAACAAAAACATGTGCCCATAAAAATCATTGGTGTGACACTAATGCAAGAATCCAACGAAAGAAAAAAATTTAGCTTACAGAAAAATGCTTACCCGATGAACTAAAGCAACTGTAGAGTATTAGCAGACACAGACATGCTGGAAAAATGGAAAAAAACGAAACCATTTAAACAAAAAACTTAAATATATAAAAATTCTTAACTTGGAGAAAGAATTCAGACAATTCTATAAGCAAGCTAACATCAACGAAAAAAAATTCAAGGCAACTGAAAGCCAATAAAGAAGTAATGGTGACCTAATAACAACAAGGAAAATGTAGCGAATTCATAAGTGAAATACCAAGTACTCAATACAAAGAAAGAAGAAGAAAACCTTAATGATTAAAATATTGGATTACTATAAACTATACATAAATAAGAAGATATCTTTGAATGTTTTAGCCACAATGAAATTAGGCTTCGAAAGGCGGGTTGACACAATCCAAGAATGCTTGGATTTCAAGTTGGACCAAGTGGCCTTGTAGAAGTGCACTTGTATTAAGTTGGTAGTGACGTGTAAATGGCTTGGATGTCAGATAACCATTGTAAAGATTGCGGGAGTGATTGTGACAGGTGTTCTAATAGTTAAGAAATAAATCGATTTAATTCCAAAAACCTTGATTTTTCTATCAAAGGCTAGTTTTATATCAATTCACCCTCGTATTACCTAGTAATTTAATTTAAATAAAGTGATGAGTTAGAATTACTGAAAACTAGTATTAACAAGAAAAATATGTTTTATATAAAGTATTATTAAACTCATTTATGAAGTATTATTTTTACTTGTATACCATCCTTGCCGAGCAGAATAAAATTAATTCTAACATTAATACTTTGAAACTAATTTCAATATAGATTTTTATTAGTACGGATCAATCGCTTAATGATAAAGTCGCGTGACCTAACTAAAAGAATATTATTTCAATACAAAAAACAATACCAATATTCCATTAAAATCCAATAAAATTTTTTTACAAATGGATTATTAGCATTTTAATTTAGATGTTTGATTCAAATCTTTAAAGCTAAATTAAAAGAGCCATGGCATGGCATGGCATTTTAAAATTAAATACATAATAAGAGTATTGTAATACGATATTGAGATATTATCTCCATAATACTATGTTTTTAGAATCGTTGTCCGAAACCTTCGACACAAAATTTCCTACTACACCTTAGTAACTCATACTTAACTGGTAACTCCAATAACGAGGAAAATGTTTTGAAACAAGTATTTTTGCAATAAAATAGTTTAATTAAAATATAATGGAAATAAATTGGAAATTTTTTATTTACTTATATAGAAAAACTACTGATGCGGTTATGTACTACTATAGTAGAAGTCACAGTTAGAATGCAGTGCAAGTAAGGTAGGCAATGTATTTCTTACTGGAGAACGGCCGACCACGTTGCCGGTTTGCCCCAAGCAGCGGATCAGGACCGGATTTAGGAATCATAGTACTGGAATATGCGTGCACAAAAGAATTTTCTACGGCTGTATAAAAGACTATCATTGTTGTTTCAGCTAAAGTATGATTAATTCGTCGATGTATAGATAAGAGAGTTACATTATCGAACTAAACCAACATAAAGAAAAATACTATAAAAATGTAAAATATAGCAATAACTCATTGTCAACGCTTGTCTATATTTATCAATTTTTAATAGCTTCCATTGTAACCACATTCTTTGGAAAATAAAAATCATTATAAAGTCATTAATAGAAGCGAACCAGTTCTAATCCCAATGGTCCACGCAAAGCAAACATGTCTCTTTGTCGATTTGGTTACTGGTCATTGACTAAAAGCTTGCTAAAAACTATGACAGCTCAGTTCTATTTTTGCAAGCGGATGAAAGTACCTTCATCATGAAACCTTTTCTAGTATCTGTAGTGCATTTATAACAGGGTATGACTGTTAGTGTGCAAGTAAAAAGGGTGGTGTTAAATGTATTCAATTATCATCTGAACTTAAAAAAATAGTGACAGCTTAACTATTACTGTGAAAACAGTTTCGAAAATATACGGTGCGAGTGTTTGCAAAATTCAAGAAACACAAACAAACACAACGATCAGGAATCTAACGATGCCTCCATAAAAAAACTCTCTAGAGGCGAAACTGGTTTTGTGATACGGTTCGAATTAACTTTCTTTACGGGGTAAGAATGGTTTGAGAAGACGTTAATTCCAAAATTGCTAAAGGATAACAAAAACGTTGTCGTTTTGGATAACGCATTATACCACTCCAGCAAATTTAATTTTTAGAAAAAAAATGTAGAATAAAAGACAGCTCAAGTATTGACTAATCGAAAAAAGAACATTTTCTTAGAGGAAGATTTTCAGTGCACTAAGTCTGAAGCATTCATAAAAATAACATATGTCGCACCTCCGCTAAAAAAGAGTCACAACTTAAAAATCGCCATTATTGAGATGACCGTGCCACAAATATTAAAATAAGTCGTACTTTCTTCCATAAAAGCGTCACTCTTATACTTGAGATATTTACCGCGAGATGGCGATGTGACACTTTTGTTTTTTACAGGTTAGTTAAGCATGCATTCCGCTATAGTGTCACCTTTGACTTTATAACAGTCTACATTTAGTGCTTAATCCTGAAAAGAGTCACATTTAGAATTGTGTTAATTATTATTTACATCTGATTATAAAATATTACTCTTTTTGTGTTGTGACAGTTTTTTCGAAGTTGTAAACGAGGAAAGTACTTTTGCATGGTGCTGAAAAGTACTACATGTTGATTTTAGCCAGTTTTTTTATATATGTAAGTATATTTTTTCAAACTATTTTTGGAATATGACTGTTTTGCAAAACCGGCACATATAATTTTCAAATCCAGTGACGTTTCTTTTTTTATTATGACGCTTTTTTAGGAATTATTGATTGTTATTTTCTTGTTTATGACTGTATGTTATCCTTCCTTGTTTTTATTTATCATTATTGTTGCAGCTAACAGGCTGGTTTCTTAACATCCAAATTCGTCGAGTTCAAGGATAAGCCGAATTTTGTCCCTTGCAAAGAAAATAACTCAGAACGTTATGCACCAGATCAAGTGCGATAATCAATATGAAAAAAATAGCGTGCCCAAAGTTTTTATTTTAGATATAATAATGTTTCTTCTTTTTCAGAAGTCTCAGAAAGACATCTTTTAGAAGAGAAAAATGCTGCACTTGTTTCTTATCATAATGCAAACTATGTTGTAGCTATGTATAACGATAATAATATGCCTAGTACATCATTATTACGGATTGGACTTTTAACAGAACGCAAAGACAAACTCCAAATCTCGGACTTCGTAAGCGATAATTATGATGATTCAATAAAATATCCAAACTATGAATCAGATTCTACTAGCTCTAGTTTGTCCTCCTCTTCTATATCAAGTGATAATTCTAACTCAAGCAGTAGTTATAGTCCCGGTTACAATGGTTTCTTGTCGAATTCACATAATGTAAGGTGCGGACTTTCAACCAGAAAATACAACATCAGCAAGCATTCAAGTACCAGACGTTAAAGTATAACAACAAACTTACAAGTATCAGGACCTGAAGTACCAGATACTCAACTAACAGACACCCAACCAGCAAACACTCATCCAGTAGACACCAAAATTACCACTCCTAAAAAAGAGGGAAAAAGCGAGTAACATTAACATAAAACTGGTTAAGTAACAAAGCCAAGAAATTACGAAACTTTGGCCAAGCATATACCTTAAGATTTAAATCACAAAAACCTTTTGTTGTCAGGAGTATCAGACCTACTTGTGGAGATAAATGCCGGCTAAAATGCTCTAATATAATAGATGAAAATAGCAGGAAAAATATTGCGCCCTGAAAAATATAAATAGACAGAGGGATTTTATTCACAAATGCTTGAAACAGTCAAACCAGTGTACAGGTACAGCAGTGCGGAGAGGCCTAGACAACATAATAATGCATATTATTATCATATAAATAATAACGAGCAAGTTCGCGTACGCAAATACTTTTTTATGGCTACGCTAGATATAAACAATCGAATTACAAGAACGGTCGTTGACAAAGCTGAAAAAGGGATCTTGGAAGTAGATTTAAGAGGTAAACACAAAAACCATAAAAAAGTGGATCCATCGAAGACGGAGTTCGTGAGTACATTCGATCGATTCCTCGTATTGAGAGCTACTATCTCTGCAAGCAAACCAATAGGGAATACATCGAAGGCGGAAAAAATTAATTGATATATTTAACGACTATAAACAAAATTGCCGGGAAAACAATCTACCACATGCAAATTTAGTGATGTTTTTAAAAAATTTTAACACAGAGTTTAACATTCGTTTCTTTATACCCGGAAAAGATCACTGTGAGTTGTGTGATGCGTATGAAAATGCCATAGGAGAAGTTAAGGAAATATTGGAACACAAGTATGTATTACATTTGGAAGAAAAATATTTATCGAGAAAAGAAAAGTACCAAGAAACGGCGAAGGCTAATCCCAATTACATTGTATCAGTCTATGACTTGCATGCAGTTCTTCCTACGCGCCGCAAGGAACTGTATCTGTTTTTTATTATAAATCGAAGTTGAATTGCTATAACTTCATGGTGTCTGTTTTGAAAATTGGTTCAACGGAATGCTACTTTTGGGATGAAGGGCATGGAAATAGGGGGAGTCATGAAATAGCTCATGTGTACTTAATTTCATAGAAAAAAACTGAACACTTCTAATAATGAAGCTGGACTTGACTTCGTTTTCTTTTCAGATAATTGTTGTGGCCAACACGCAAATAGATTTTTAATTGCTATTTATATTTACGCTCTGGGTAAATACCCTAAAATACGTTCAATAACCCATAAATATTTGATAAGTGGACATAGTCAGAATAAAGGCGACTCTGTTCATTGAAATATTGAGGCTATAAAAAAAACTTAAAAATCTATACCTATCTATGTGCCAAGTCAGTATGCACAAATCATTTATTTGGCAAAAAAAAGAAAGAACCTTACCATGTAAATGAATTCAGTTATTTGGATTTTTATTCGCTTAAAACATTGTGTGACGATATAGGCATGACAGGCATCAAATCTTTGAAGATTACTGAAGTAAAGGTTTTTAAGTTAAATCAAATGGCTTACCACAGGCTTACAAAAGTGTGCTTAGCATTAAAAACAATAAGAAAAAAGATCTCTTGGATTTAGTAAAGAATAATCACATTCCCAGTTGTTATTCAGCATTCCATCACTCTTTGTAACAATAAGTAAATAAAAAAGTTTTTTCTATTTTTCTTTGTATTTGCTTTATTATACTCTGACAACGTGATTTTTAGGATGATAATATTTTGTTCTAAAAAAGTGTTACAATATCAGCATGTTTCTATTTTTTTACTGTTAACTGCAGAAATTTAATTTTCTGAGAAAAATAATGCATCAATAACACTAAGCTAATATATTCCAGTTTACAATAAAATAGCATATCAGCTTGCATTTAGTCATGGAACTGACAAATACATGTTCAACTGAACTAAAATCTTTAACATAATTTTTCTTAAAACAACGTTTTTTGAATTTGTAACTCTTTTTAGCGGAGGTGTCTATACTTAATAACAGGCGGTAGCTGATTTGTCTTTAGTTTCATGCTTGAAAGACAATGATGCTAGATAAAAATATGTGTTTTATCTCAGCAGGTATTAATGATGCACGGGTAAAGAATCATGTACTCAACTGTAAGTTACAAGTAGTAGTATCTCTATCTTGGTATTCATTGAATACACTGGAAAGTATTATTGTCTAAAACGAACTCAAAAGAACTTTTGAACTCTTTTATTGGAAATTTTTATAGATTTTTTATTACCAAGAACTAATCTAATTTAGTTTTATACTTTTATTTATTCCATATTACTAAATGTATAGATATAATGTGTGAATATTATTTCCAATAGTTTATATTGTAATTAATCTTTCACAGAGATTGTAATTACATATCTTCATAATATTATTTAACTATTCAATGTGCCCTTGCATAATAAATTGTAATAAAACGTATTTTTACCCTCTCATCACTGTCCTAAGTACTTAAGTTTTTCGTTTTGATAGTTAATATTTTTCCGCCTCATTTCTTATCCTTCTAGTTACTTCCACGTTTGACATTCTTTGAATCCATGATATTCGTAGGATTCTTCTGTAACACCAAAATTTAAAGGCGGCCAACTTATTCAACTGGACTTGTTTTAGTGTCCACGCTTCCAAGCCATAAAGAAGAGTAGAGAACACGTAACATCGAAGCATTCTCAGACGTAGTTTAACCTTATATCCCGACAACAAAGAAACTTTTTAAGTTGAATGAATGATGCACGTGCTATTTCAATACGTGTCTTAATTTCTTTGGTTTGGTCTACATCTGATGTTATCCATGTTCCTGAGTATTTATATTTATTAACACTCTCAATTGCAGTATCTTTAATAGTCAATTGGATATTTGCATGTGCAGATTTAGTTATGATCACGCATTTAGTTTTCGTTAAATTTATTTTCAGTCCGTACTCATGACAGCGTTCATTAAGGCGTTGCATTACGTTCTGTAAATCTTTGTTGTTATCCGTCATTATTACTGTATCGTCTGCAAAACGTAATTTATTCAAAACTTCTCCATTGATAGATATACCTTCTATTGAGTCTGAGAGCGCTTCTTAAAATACTGCTTCACTGTAGACATTGAAAAGTAGTGGGGACAGCACACAACCCTGGCGGACTCCTCTCTGTATTTTGATATTTTGGGTGTACTGGCTGTCAACTCTTACCTTGGCAGTTTGATTCCAATATAAATTAGATATAATTTTCATATCACGACTGTCAATATTTTTGCTTTTTAATATATCTACAAGCTTTTTATGTTCAACCTTATCAAATGCCTTTATAAAGTCTACAAAACATAAGCACATGTTCTAATTCATACCTATTTATCTCTGAGCTAGCACATTCAAGCTGAACAAGGCATCTCTTTTACTCATACCATTTCCAAAGCCAAATTGTGTGTCACTAATTTCATATTCAAGAGTTTTAACAATTCTGCTGTAAATTATTTTCAAAAATGTTTGAAGTATGTGACTAATTAAAGCTATTGTTCTGTGATCGGAGCAAGTAAAATCGTATGTAGAATCAAGGTTTTAACGAGTCAAAATTGGTAGGTGTTTATCAGATAAATTTCAGGCTACATCTGGTGTCCCCCAAGAGAGCAACTTAGGGCCTTTGTTTTTCTTAATTTTTGTCAACTCACTACCACAATCTCTTAAATTTTCTTCTAGTTTGATCTATGCTGATGATTTTAAGCTTTTTAAGACTATATATACTTCAAATGATTGTCAGTTACTACAGGAGGACCTGACCTCAGTTGTGGAATGGTTTAGAGACAAACAATATGATGTTAAATATTAAGAAGTGTGTAGTCATATCTTTTACTCGCAAAATCAACTACATTCAAAATAATTATAGAATTGACAATTGTATAGTATCTAGGAAAACCAAATGTAAAGATCTAGGAATATACCTACAGGCTAACATGAAATTTAATGAACACTATATAAATATTGTTAATAAGGCCTACAAAATATTGGGATTAGTAATTCCAAACACTTTAGTATAAACACAACCAATTAGAATATATAACGCTTTAGTCAGAGCAAACCTGGAATATGCATAAAACATAGAGTAAACGTCTACTCCCCGGCTCTGGAACTCAATTCAACTATGTATGCTACCTGAAGTCATATTAAATGTAATACTGAACATCACAGTTTTTTAACAACAAGAAGTATAATCGTTTATAACTATATATAATTTAAAGGGTTTTTACCCATGTATTTTGGTGGCTCAGGCATTTTAACCTAGTAAGTATAGCCATTTTTGCTTTTTAACCATAGTCAAAATTTCATAACCACGTTTGTTTTAACTAAATGGTTTATACTTATTTAAGGCAATTTTAAAATTTAAACCTAATGATGGACTGTTTAGTCCGAAAACGTTTGTTTTTTTTTGTGTAGCCCTTTTAAGAGTTTTTTAAATAAATATATCCACTTATGAACACTAACCTCTTTTTTGTGATACGTGGTATACAGCCAGCTACAGGAATTGTTTTCCTTGTGGATTTTGTTCATTGTGTTTGTCAAGAATTACAATAGTGTATTAAAATTAAATCAATCAAAAATAATTGGACAAGATCATACATGAACTGTTCCTTTTGTTTTATTTCCTGAATACCAATATTTTGTCAACATATTGAATAATTTTTTAGTTAAATACTTAAAACATCACATTTGCTAAAATTCACGAATTTCAAATTCTAAAAATACCGATTTAATATATCAGCTATTGAATCATGAATAAAAATCCTCTAGTATTAGCAGACATCAAGTTTCAGTGACCATCGGCACGTACAAATTTTCCACGATTTCCACTTTTTCCCGTTCGACATCGACAAAATCAAACAGGGCAAAATCGAAAATGGAAATTCAGACCAGATTGTTCTCCTAGTATGCCTGATT